TCTCTGGGATGAAGATGACTAAACATCATAACAAATCAAGTGAATTTAATTAATAGTTGTCAGTAAAACAATTGATATAGCCTGCAGGGTGCAGCTATTTAGAGACGTGATTTATGTGGTTGGTGTCGAAGTCAGATTAGCTTTCGTTTTCGTGTTCATCGGGTGCTTTTTTGATCACGGAGAGCAGCCTCTATTCTTTATCGCAAAACAAGTACTACTATCTTGCTATGAGGTGTCTGAAAATTTGACAACGGTAAGATTACTTTATTTCAGTTACAGCTAAGGATAACCAAAACTACAACTGCTTTCAAGCGAGGTTAAATTAGTTTAAATTAGACCAAAAAACTTTCCATCCTAAGATGTATATGATACTCGTTTAAAAGATTTGACGACTGTTTGGAGAAGAAAGATTAGCCAGCTCAGCAACAACGTGAAGTTTCACCACGCTTGCTTGTCCCATCCTTGAAATATTGTTTTGTGCAAATGTGATGCTATTTTGATACGCTTCACGATTTTATGACAAGATTTACTGAGTGTCTCAACTTATCGTATGAACTCGAATGGCTATGGAAGATAATTCTGCTAAAGGCTTGAATAGACTGGGAAAGGTATATTTTCTTTGCCGATAATAATCAAAGTCCTGTCCCCGTTCCGATTTCAAAATTTGCAACTATTATGATCCAGGTCAATTGTAATCCTTGAGTGATCACAGGCGAGTTTGTTTCAAGTCTCATCAAGATAACGAAGGAAACTGCAGCAAAAAATATTTCAATGATACGTGACTTGCTCGGGCTCTTAGTGCCGGTTCCCTCGAAACACTCTTCAGATTTTTCATTCGCGCTTACATCAAGCTAATCTAATTTGCGGTTATCGTGTCAATTTTGCGCTTTGTTATTATTCATGTCTGCAGACTACGAGAAGAACGTCCATATTCTCCTTGCGTCGGTTTTTTTCTTACTTATTCTCTTTCCGATTGCCTTACGAACGCATTTTTTTTTGTTTTAGTGTTTCTATTTGTGTATGTTTGACAAACCACTGGCATCGATTTCATGTGAATCACCTTTGGAGGTATGATAGTGAATT